AATAATCCTATTGCACTAGTAAGTTCAATCAAAAGAATCTACGGCCTCATTACTGAGGCGATTGGCTAAGCTACATTGAGTGGCAAAAGCAGTTGGAACGCCTCCCTTAAGTGGGTAGTCGACAACCCTTCATGCATTAAATATATAAACAGATATCTTGTAATCCATGTCTAATAAGTGACCTAAAAGTCCCTTTTTTCCCCCTAAAAAAAAGTGTTGCAAAAAATTAAGTAGCCTATTTTGTTAACACCAGGCGATATTAAGATGGGGGAGAACGGGAGATAAATATAATTTTTTTGCCAAAATTCGAAAGTAGAGCCCGCTGAGGCTTTGCCACTCATTCCTGATTTTAAGTTTTCTGGTATATTGGACCAAGCTTTCATGTGTGCGACAGATGATTCATTCTCCCCGACTGATTTCAATTCTTTTTCACTAGTGCCGTAGTCTGACAAGCTCTTGACCTACTATCGACGTAGTGTTTGTTAACTTGTTTTAATTGTCTTTTTTTTGGTTTTGTTTTGTTTTTTCACAACAAGTCCTAACATGAACCGAGACCTTTAACGTTGATTACACCAGAAGCTTTTTTTTAATGGTAATGTATTGAGAGGGTGTCTGTGCAAGTCACGTATTCCAATTTTACAACTCAGGACCTTTCACTTGACTTCCTACTGCATACATAAACACCACTAAGATTACGATGAAGCTCTTCATTTCAGTTTTGGAAGTCAGTAGGACTGACAGTACGACGTAGCAAATTTGCAAAATACTACTGATAAATCTTCTATTCGAAATGAAACCCAAAGAAGTCTTTCCCACAATAGTCCCTGTTGATTTTAGTTTATTTTCATTCATTGTACGCTAAACTCTTCAATAAAAGTATCCGTGGTAAAATGATAAATAAAAGAACTCTGTATAAACTAAATATCTCCTAATTAACCTCACATTTCATAAATAATTCTGTGGGAGAAGTCTTGTGGTTATATAAAACAAAGCAAAAACTAGTAATTTCTATAAGCTAACTCTCTCAAAGCTGACCTTCATTTTTCGTAAGCATGCAATGTTAATCACACTCAAGTTTACTGTCAAGAGTGTCGGATACAAAATGAAGCTTTTCAAACAGTTTTAAGAAAGCTCGGTGGTGTTTTCTTTTTTTTTTTTTGTGTACTAAACGTTTATTTACGACCAATCGATTTGCTTGAACGCATGTTATACTACGCTTGGCTTTAAGAACTGACTGGCCCCTTTACGTCCACTCATTTTGTTTTCATTAGCCTTTCTTTTGTTTTCTTACGAATATACCAAAGAAAACAAATAAGAAAAAAAGCAGATAAGGCTTAGAGCCTTCAACCAATCTCATGGCGTCAATGTTGTTGTATAAAAATTACCAGTTAAATGACTAAAGAATTCGGCACATAAAAAGGGGACTAGGGCACACAAAGCTCCATTCATCCGATTCCAGGCCTCATCTGTTTCACCATCTTCCTCATCATATCCCTGTACAAAAAAAATGAAACAGAAGGTGTGAAACATGACTGCTGAAACAAAGAAGGATGAGTACAAGGAAGTCAGTCTTTTCGAAAGTCCAGTAATGAGAGAACGAGTTCAAAAATTAGGCCGATAGCAGGAAAGATAGGAAATACGATAAAGCAATTAATTGTTACCGAATCGCAGTAAGTTTCTCTTCCACCGACTCCCAAGGGCTGCGATCTTCACTGAATTCAAGAAGATCTACAAACAAACCAAGATCACATTTAGGAACATAAAGAACCTTACAGCTGTTAAGGCACGAGAAAGATTATTCCTTTTCTATTATAACTGAGTATCAACTGAACCGAAGGTCTTCTTCATCTCCCTTCGTTCAGAGAAGTACAAATAGGATACAAGACTAAAAAAAAATGTTTTTCCAGATTACTACGCATAAAAATTCTTGTGAAAGTAGTCCTGGTTAAATACTTCACGCAGACCTTGGGCGAGTTTCATTTCACTGATCCAGTCTCCCTCTTTGTAATACTTCACGCGCATATTCTGCATAAAGAAAAGATGTAAAAGTAATTAAGTCTATGAGGCCACCCCTCAATTGCAGAAGAATACAACTATACCTAAGCCCCCTCCTACCCTAACGGTACGTTCTTCTCCTCACGCTCACAGTCACGTATGGCGCTAATGCACGCTACCACTTAGCGTCAATCACGAACACCGGTGCACGCTTAATGATAAAATGCTACAATTCCATTAGCGAAGAATGTTCATTTACCAGAAAAGGAAATCTCTCCATGCGTGTGAGTTGTAGAATACGATCCACATCATATTCCAGACGGGCGACTTTCTTGGCCTGTGTGTAGGTCGTACTCATTTGTGCAATGAGAATGTTGAGTAGAATCACTATCACGATCCCCATGTAGGCCATCATTAACAGAATGGAGAGCCAGCTGCAAGGAATAAATCAAATGCTCTTACGTAGTTAGTTTCACCTATTATCTTAGTGGTAATAAACTCATCTTAAGGTAAAGAGATCTGAACAAGTAAACGGAGTAAAAACATATTCGACCTTTTAGAGAAAAATCAACTCACTTGAAATTTGAATAATCGTAAGCAATTGGTCTTTGTTCAGAGAGCGCGCGAAAGCCACTCAATAACACATCTCCGAAGTCACTAATGTAAAAAAAAAAAAAAAGGATTTAGCATGGACTGTAACACATAGACTGATCTGCAACACATTAACAGAAATTTCATATCACTTCAGGTGTTATCATATACATTTCATCCAACTAAAATTCGCAGATAGTGCAGAGTAAACATCAGCCAACCAAATAATTCAACCCATTTATTCAGTAGCATTTAAGCAAGCAAGATTAAGACATACCTAAACTGTTGGTTTTCATCGGAGTAACAGAGCGATAAAGACAAAGCACCACAGAAGGAGAAAAAGATAACAATAAAAACCGCCATGGATCTTGTCACATCGTGCAAAATGATCTTAGCCAAGGTTTTTGTGTATAATCCGGTTGTCCTGAAAAAAAATATACACGGTTCTATTACATTAAGGACACAAGTTATGTGATACATAATGATGTTCGAATTATACTAAATAAGAATATAACAGTTTTCAACAGTCTTCTAATAAAATTTCAGGGGGGGTCGACACGTTGCCATGCGTCGGCTCCATGTAAAGCATTTGGCTTTTTTAACAAAATTTCCCATCTTCTTTATTCTTTTAATTCCATTACTCCCGTCTGTCTCCTCTCCTTGGACGCTTTTTTTAATCTTTCTATTCTGTACCTTTTTTTCGTTGAGACGTTTTAAAAATTTCCAAATTTCCATCATGAAGGTGCCAAGACGGTGGGGTTGCACTAATTATAAATTAGGCTTGTTAACCAAAATCCAAACCTAATCCAACTGTGCGAGTAAGTTTCACAGATATGATTTTCTTGTTCTAATTTGCTGACATTCTCTCAAAACTATCAAACGTAGCTTATGATGCATTTTACCTTGTCAAGCAAGAAAACTTAAAGATCCTCAGGAAGTTGAACAAGAAAGCTAAAGATGCCAAAAGCCACTGGGCTTTAATTTGCGTGTACAAATGACAAACACAGCAAGAAGATCACATACAATGCTGCTTGAAGGCTGTGGGAAAAATTTGGGAAAAGGTGGTGATAGTAAATTATGCCATTATTTGATTTGACTTGGTTCATTGTTGTTATAACTTTTCTGTTTCAGTGGACGCATCTCCCTCAATGTTTCCCCTTTGTTTAGTTTAATTTCTAAGTGTTCATCTCTCTATACAAACATGTACAAAGTATACCTCAGAAAAGAGTGTCCATAACTTTTCCATTTTGTTTTCACCAACATTCTAACCACAGGATGTTGTAAGGCCTCCTAAAAATGAAAATCAGGCAGCATTTTTTAAAGAACAAATGTAAAATATGATACAAGTAGAGCAAAAAGACAATTTTTGATATTCATATTTTATTTTTGATTATGCCATGCTCATATTTTTGTAATAGTTTCAATACATTACAGATCAAAATGAAAATTTAACATGGTTGCTGTCAACTCTGTCACCATTTCTCATAATCTAATACCAAGAGTAGGCAAGAGAGTAGATTTGCAAGTTTGTAACTTTACCTTGTTTTTGCTCTTTGCAATCAAATGTAAACAAGACCTGTCTCTCCAGTTGAAATGTTTGTTGTTTGTTTGCTTTTCTCCATCAAGGGTTGTAAGCTTTGGGGACCGTCCTCCCTCATCACCGTCCAAGATATGATAATAAAAGTGATAATCTACAGGATCATCTGTGATTGTCCTCCAAGCTCCTTCAATTCCTTCTTTCTCGTGTTCATTTTTGTAACTTTCCTTACGTTTTGGAAGATGTGGCCAATGAGGATTCACCATCTGATCTAGCAGAGCCAAGGTCGTTTTCTGCTCAGAAGATATATACCACACAGAAACAAAGAATACAAGATAATCCTAAAATTTAAACATTGCATGTATATAGAACAATGAATTCAAAAATTGTTATACATCCACCCCCCTCTCTATTGGAATTTTCTCTGATAAATCTCCAATAAGTCTCTCTCTCCCCCACTTCCTTTATCAGCCATCTAGCTGAAAGCCTTAGCAATTTTCATTAGTCTCTAAAGGAAAAGTTTTTGTAACTTGCCACAAAGTCCTCCTTACATTAGCAGCCCTGCAAATGATGGCCAGATGTTGGCAAGTAGGCAAGTTTTTGAAATCACACATTTGACAAATGAGTGATTTTGAATGTTTACCTGTAACATAACTACCATAAATCTTTTCTATCACAGATATAGCACCACCTTTTCAACAGGGAATTATTCTAACCTATGTTTCCCATTAATGCAAAAAATATAAATTTCCCACCTTCATTTTAGGATTTTCAATGATAAACTTAAAACTGAAGAAAGATGGTTGAGGTTCTGTCATATCACCTGGTCTCCATGAAAACAAACTTTGGACTCTGGAATTAAAGTTTAAACAGATTTTCTCATGCAACATAATTATTTCCTGCAGATTTTTTTGATCTGATCACAAGAAGACCACACTACATGTTCATGGTTAATAATGTTGAAATGAGATTAACAGAATCTATGAAGGTTATGAGTAATGGTCTGAAAATTGCAGATCTAAATTACATCTTGGTATGAATATCTCAATAAAGTTAAATGAAAGTTGATCAACTCATTTGAGGTATTTTTTTGCCTTCACAGGCCTTTTCAAGTGTCTTTTTATAAAGCTACTTTGGCTGGAGGCCAATAAGAGAAGAATTAGGGAGTCTCTCCAATTGTTGAAGATGTATTAACTACTTATAGACATAAATCCAAAGAAAAATATAACTTTCATGAGTTGCTACTAGACAAATCTGTTATCACAATCAATACAATTCGAACCAAATTATTCACTCAGATGACATTTAGAGTCACAACCTCTATAAAAATATACAGGCCAATATCTTAGATCAGACTATAGTTAAAAAGTATCATTGATAAAAAATTCTTCAAATCAAGCCCTCTATCATTTGATGAATCCATGTAATACATTTTATCTATACCTTTCATGCCACATCATTCTAACGAGAAATGCTGCCACCTCATCTTTCTCAGCCAATAAAGCCATTTCAACTGGAAACATGGCTTGTTGACCTAGGTCGTTTTGTTTTCATGGATAGCAATGATGGACATCTCTTCACAAGTGTTTTGGTGACTTGTAAAAATCCAAGTTCTGCAGCATAATGTAGCAAAGTCTTCTTCGCCTTGTCGTTCACATCTCTGAATGTGTCATATCTATTACCGAAGTTCAGTTCACTCTCTAACAAAATGTTTAGGAACCTGTTTATCTGCAATGTGACATGCACATTTTTCTAGATCTTGGTTTCAAATTAGCAAGGATCCATTGAATAGTTCATCAATGTGTTGTACTTACAAAAAAGTATTACTAAACATAAAAATTAATAAAACAATAACAAGTTCAATCGGTACTCTCTTTATTTATGAATAACAATGATTTTCTTGGTAATCTGAGAGCAGAAGTCCACTTTCCCTCCCATGGAGTTGATAAATAGGTATTTCTACCTCAAGCTGACACACCACGGACATAAATGACCATAAATATGCACGTGTAAAATTTACTGTAAAACAGTCCAATTTAACGAATTTCTTATAGCATCACAAAGTATCGATCCTAAATTTACGACTCTGGATATACCAACTGGTGAACCTCGCAATACATTTCTCAAGCATTTCTCTAGCACACTGTAATAGTGAAACAAACAACGCAAGTCGTTTTAATCATTACAATAAATTAACATACCAGTTTTTCAAGGCTTGGTAGTTTATCGGGATTATCTTTGTACTGTTTGGATGTTGGCCAAATTTTCAACATCACCAGGGCTGGGTCCTCACCAAAAATTTCTCCGTTAACCTTGTAATTCTGAATCAGTTGTTCAACTTGGACTTCGTCCATAGCTCTGTTCCACAACAGTCCTTTACACTGCTTCTGACTAACCTACCAATCGGAGTTGATAGAATTAATTGGTTATAAGGCTCAGTTCTCTGATCCACCGACATGTTCACTATGAAAGGTAATACATTGCTAGTTCTTTCCTTCATGACATTGTAAAGTAACCGTACATTCATTCAAAGTTTGTCACTAGGATTAAAAACTGTCGCTCTACAGCTGAGAAAACATTTTCCGCAATAGTTTTTCATCCGAAGGGAGGATGAAAAGGATAATTGAAGTGAACAATAATTATATCCGGATGGCCATCTGTAAGGTTAAGGTTATTTTTTTTTATTTTTTGAAATGTTGGTATCGATATGTGATCATCCTCTTATTCACCTAAAAAATTACCTTGATCCAGAACTCTCCGTCATGTTGATTAAACAAGAAATCTTCGAGATGACGGTTAACTTTAGGCTGAGCATCATCTTTGTTATTGTTGTCTTTAACAATGAAATCTTCCTCGACTTTTCTGGCAATTTTCATATTAAGTCACAGCTAGCTTAACCCAATCTGTAAGTGTCATAGAGTACGAGAAAGCATTGTGTAAGTAACCGCTCCTCAAACTCCAACAGGCCCACGAAGGGGCCTGGACCCGGTTCCCGCAGCTGTTTCAGGGAAGATTCATTCTTTCCTTCTTCGTTTCTTTCTTTCCTTTCTTTCGATTTTTTTTCTCAATATTATGATAATAGAGCATAAATTTTCCCTAACCAAACGGATGTTTCACTTTAGGAACCCAACGGTTTCACAGTAATAAGGGAAATAAAAAATCTGCACTAATCTGCTCCTTATATGAAAGTTTGCGGTAAACGAAAAAGAGTGAAACAGTTTCGTAGTTCCTCGATCGCCAGGCAATCTGGCATCAAACACCTTTTATGACTCCTACCTATTATCACAAGGAAAACAACCCTAAAACTCTAAGTTGGGTACGTTACGACACAAGGTGCTAATTAGACGGAAAATAGCATTATTCATAGGAAAGTTTACAGCTACAGAAAGTGCCTGCTTTTTGTTTTGGGAAATTTTAAACACCATGGAATAATAAGAACACTATTAGTGCAGGAGTTTACGTGCTTATCAGTTTTTATGAGTTTGAAAACCCAGCAGGATCAAAATAAATGGCAACTCACATACTTCATCAAGCCTTTTGATTACATTCCTCGTTCATCAATGTTACTTATACATTGGCTACACCTTGATGTTATGTAAATGTGTCTTTTCGGCACCCATTGTTCTCGGTGTAAGAAACGCCCATCTGCACCTATTACATGAAATATTCAGCTTCCTTCGATCGTGTCGCTAGGATTTAAACTCTCGAGTGCTAACAAACTCCGCACAACTGTTATCAAGTCATTTTTACCGTCGTGCACAAACTGCAAACGAAAATGAAGTACGTTATGCTCCTTTACACTGGATACGACTGTGAATTGGCTGAAAGACTCGAAGATTATTTCGAGGGCAGATTAAGAAATATAGCGGACTTAAGGAGTATCACCGGAGTTTTAGCAGAGAAACAGAAACTCTCCTGGGCACTTCGCAGCAGTGACTGCGTCGTACTGTTTGCAACAAGCCAGGCTTCTTCCCTTATCAAAGACAAGAAGGAAGAAACTGAGGATGGTTTCCTCACGTTTGACGGCAAAGTTATACAAGACGCGTTCACAGGAAACAAAGAACTTGTGGATAAACTGATTATCGTATACCCGACGGAAAGGAGGGAAAGTGATTGGATCCCCGACGGTTTTGATGAAAAGAGAATATTTCAACTGAAAGGCGAAAAAATCCAGGCAGGTCCCATGTTATACCAGCTCGAATATTCCATAAGGCGGACTTTAGGACAGCCTTCAATAGATATGTGATGTAAAAGTTAGCACTAAAACACTGCTTAAATAATTGTCTACTCATGTAACCTTGCCCTCACCTACCAATCAGTTAACTATATACGTAATGACTTGGGTGTGTGATATGGAAATCAGTTCAAGCCGAATGAAAGACAATGGATGAAATAAAAAAAATAGTAAAAAAAATTGAAGTGCGTCGAAAATGTTAATGGCTAAACAGTGGATAACTAATTACTTTTTCTAAGCATGTAAGGATTCATTGCAAAATGCTAATAATCTACTGCACAATTAGAAATTGTTTACAGATAGGACTTTAACTTGTCAAAAGATATAAGCATCACACATGCCATTAACAGGAGTTAATAAAAGTCACCTATGACATCATATGCTGTGGCATTCGTTCACTATTCGTTCCGCGTAAACGTTTCCCAAATAAAGTACACCAATTTCAAATCTAAAAATCTGCGCAATGGATAAGTGGTGATTGAATAAGAAAAAAAATTTAACAAAGATTTGTGTACGGCCCCATACCTCACTGTGGATACAGTTTCTTGATAAAGAAAAAATGGCGAAATATTTTACTAATATGGACATACACGGAAATCTTTAAAACATTTGTAACAACATTACATGGTGTAAGGTATTCATTGACATAGAACACGAGTGGCCTATAAGTGCAAATGGACTTTGCCATTGAATTATTTGCAATGATGAGCTGACTAAGTCAAATGTCTTGACAACAACCTCGCCTTTCAGATGGGCAAATGAACATGAACATGACGAAAGGCCTGGTGGTGCTTATCTTGTTTATATTTACCATTCACTACGTGATACCCATTAAGTTTTTATCTCCTTTCATCACCACAACTGTGTCAGAGTGGTGTTTACAGTAGTTTTCTCGAACTGTTTGTCATCATAACCGCTTTCTTTGTTGCCTGATAAGAAATTCGGCCTGAACTTCTTTCTTTTCTCGTTAGTGGCGTACAAACTACAAGTGAATACAAATCCGTTTATTCTCGTCCTGGCCTCATCTGTTTGACCATTTTTCTCATAATGTCCCTGGAGAGAGAAACTCACAATATAGAAAACTGCTGACGCACAAAAAAATGGAAGAGTGGGGTGGGATAAGTAAGCTTACCCTATGATTACCCTTTATCTGATTGGTCACTGTCAAGACTTCAGTTTTGGCTTCAAAGAATTCGATCAAAATGCGCTCAGTGTAGTGGATGGGGCTAATAAAGAAGCTGATAGTGAAAAAGGGAGGCAATGAAGGCATTATTGCTGCCTTATCTCTATAAGTGTCTGTTCCACCGACTCTCAAGAATTGCGATCTTCACTAAATTCAAGAAGTTATAAAAACAAACCAAGATAACATTTCAGAACACAAAGAACGTTATACCTGTTAAGGCATGAGAAAGCAAAGTATATTTTCCCATTTTAGCTGAATAAGTAGGTATCCTTCAGCTCCTCACCATCAGAAAGGTAGAAATAAGAAACAATATAAAAAAAACAACAACAATTTTCTCATAGCGCTGTAGATAACAATGCAGCTGGAAGCAGTCCTCGTAAAATACTTCACTCCTACCTTGCGCGAGTTTCATTTCACTGATCCAATATCCCTCTTTGTAATATTTCACCCGCAGGTTCTGCATAAGAAAATAAAGATGTAAAACGAGGAATGCAGATATTCACAACCTCCTCCTTCCCCTGCCGGTTCTTTATCTCCCTCATAGACGCCGCACATTCATTAGCGACGAATTCGTTCATACCAGAAAAGGAAATCTCTCCATGCGAGTGAGCTGCAAAATACGATCCACATCATATTCCAGACGAGCGACATTCTTGGCCAGAGTGAAGGTCGTACTCATTTGTGCAATAAGAATGTTGAGGAGAATCACAGTCACTGTTCCCATGTACGCCATCATCAGCAGAATTGAAAGCCAGCTGCAAGATACACCACTGGGATTAAAAAATTGCAAACTTTCCAAAACAGAGCCTCCTTCAGGATTATAACCCCAGCTCCAGAAATATTGCTCTCTTAAGAAGATGCCTGCGTTAAAGGAGATCTGCAGCTGGTTACTTGACTGGAGTGCAACGAGTGAGGGCAAGCTTACCATTGCTTTTAGCGTTGGAGAAGCACCATTAGCCACGCTCTCTTTCGAAACTACGACGGATAATATAAACTGATTTGTTGAGACGTGTTCGTATATTTTGTGCTTATAATTGCAACGTCCAAGTGGTAGATATCACTAAATAATCTAGATAACCAAAATTGCTAAAAATAATTTCACCTTGTCAGTCGCACTTACTTGAATGCTGAGTAATCTACCACCATAGGTTGTTGTTCGGTCAGTGCACGAAATCCGCTGATAAACACGTCTTCAAGGTTCGTAAAATAATAATATGCGTAATATATTTAAAGAAAGCAGACGAGAACACATGATTGTTTCGTGACGTGGTAGGCCAAGCTAAGAAAAATATAAATACAAAAATCATCGCAAATAAATGATACATTTTTCAGCACTTAACTGGGGCTCAATGAAGACCATGCCGTTTTGGAAGCTCAAATTTCCTTAATTCAAATAATTCTCATTGTAATTTTGAAATGTAAATATTGAAAATTTCTCGGTCAACCACACCAAATAGTTTTGATCTTAAAACTGCCAACTAACACTGGCATTGTTCCTTAAACAAACCAATTAGCAAAATCCCCGCTAGAAACTTTTTCAGAATAAAACAAAGCTTCATGAAGGAGAGATCAATACACATCTAAAGTGGTGGTTTTCAGTGGAGTAACGGAGAGATAAAGCTATTGCTCCACAGAAGGAGAGGAAGATGACAACGAAAACAGTCATAGATTTGGTGACATCGTGTAAAATGATTTTCGCCAAGGTTTTAGTGTATAACCCTGTAGTCCTGGAAAAGATGCGAGGGTGGTTAGACGTCTTGAAAACGCAAATTTAAATCAATCAACAGAAAAGAAAGAGAAACAAAAAGCAATTTAAAATTCTGAGGAACTGAAAGAAACGTGTCAAATAGCATCTGTAAATGCTCAATCGTGGGCGAATCATTGGACCTTCGCGCGTGTCACAGTTACGCTAAGTTTGCTTCCAATTTGCTTTTGGATTGTAAATAATGTTAAAGGACTGCGAAGATATGAAAATCGCATAAGTGACCTGCGAATTAATAAATGAATACGAAAGTAATTAAAATTAAAATTTTAAATCTGGATTAAAATTTTCTCAGTTTTCACTATGAGAATCTAAAATCGGCAGAACCGACGCCTAGGCCTTAAGTCTGAAATCTGTGTTAGAAATTGACTCATTACCAATGTAAGCAACTTATTCCAAAGTGTTAATAGTCTTGACTTTTACGACGGTTACAACGGGTGCGAAGGTTACCTTGTCACGCAGGAAAACTTAAATATCCTCAAGAAGTTGAAATGGAAGGCTAAGGAAGCCACTATCCACTGTAACTTGCTGTGAGTGTACCGTAGAGGTATTATACACAGGATCAGCAGCAGGCCTAACCAGTCAAACAGGGTCATCCAATCTGTGAAGTAGGTGCTCCCATCTCTGATAAAAATCAGACAAAATAAAGTTTGTTCTTGTGTATTCATATATGTGACTCTCTTAATAATAACGCGATTAATTCAGTGGCATTTTTTTCTTTTTCAGGTGTGATCAATCAGGGCTGCTAGGCTCCGTCCTTAACCAGCGCTCCCTTCCCTTCCTCAACCCAGGCCGTTCCCTATTGCGTTTACCCTATCATCAGACTTTCTGGACTCTTAAAATATTACTGCCGTAAACGGAGAGTCGAGCAGTAGAGGAATTTATGTTGACTAGTTTTCTTGTCCTTCAGAGTTAAATTCATAAGTATCATCGGATTTCCAACATGGAAAACAGTTGAAAAATGTACAAATTATGAGAACAATGGCCGAACTGCATCATGCGGCAGGCCTGGTCACATGGCATAACAATATATTTTACGAAACGTATACGGAGAACAAGAATCATACACAAACACAAAGACACAAAGAGGGAAATTCTATCTTGTCACTGTGAGTATTATTTGAACGCTTAGAAATGCTAAAATGTGATATAGAAACTGATCTACAATTGCATGGTTTTATCATCTTAAATCTGTTTGAAGCCAAAATGAACCACTTTGCAAAAACAGGACGTATTTAAACAAGATTTAAATTCCGTTTTCACCAAGGGGTAATGATTCCCAATGTAAATTGAGCTTTCACTTGTGAGGCGCTCGTCTGATTAAGAACAAGTGTCACTTACACTCTCATCTGATTGAATTCCTCACAGATATAAAAGACAGCCATAGCAAGAGTGACAACCTCGCAAATTCCACGCAAGAAATCCGTCACACCCCTGTACTGGGTGGGATCCGTTCTTGTTGAGCCATGTATCAGAGAATACGACAAGAAGAGCAAGAAGATGACATAGAATGCCGCTTGAAGGCTGAGGAAGGCAAGCAAGGTTAAATTCGTACATAATTATGTTGACTGTATCATTCTGATGAAAGTTTCACGAGGTCAAGCCTTTTCAATTTTCTTTTATATCTTCTACTCCTCGAGATAAAATTTGCCTCTTGATGTTTTTGTTCTAAAGATTAAACCTCATAAATTTAAACAAGTAATTTATTCATAATAATTTGTTTTATAGATGCTAATTGACCCCAGCTCTTAATCACTCTGAGTATAGTGATCAACAACTCAGACAGTTTGCAATGGGCGGATACCAGCTTTCACCCCTGAAAAACACTCTCTGATTTGCCTTAACCTGTAAGTTACTTTAACCCCATAAAATCATCAAACAAATTTACCAGAGAAATACAAATCCATAACTGTTCCATTTTGTTTTAATCAACATCCTGACCACAGGATGCTGCAAAGCCTCCTGAAATTGAGAATAAGAAAGATTTTCAAAAAGAATTTGTTACAATGCGAGCTAAAAGGTGTCTTATTTTCTTGACTATCCTATGTACGTTCATTGAGCTGTTAGAGTCTGGCAAGCGGACTTCTACGCCTCCCCCCCCACCCCATTTTCTTTTTAAATCCAACAAATATGGATAATATGATTTATCTCTGTCATTAGTCTATTACCTTACCATATTTTTGCTCTTTGCAATCAGGTGTAAGCAAGAATCGTCCTTAAGGCTAAAGTATTTGTTATCTATCTGCTTCTCCCCCCTGGAGTCTATGATCTTTGGGGGTCTTCCTCCTTTATCACCATCTAAAATATGATAATAGAAGTGGTAGCTCAAGGGATCATCAGTAATTGCACTCCAGGCTCCTTCAATTCCTTCCTCTTCTTCATCAGTGTCGTAGATGTCTTTGCGCTGCGGCAAATGAGGCCAATGGGGAATCACCATTTGATCCAGTAAAGCCACAACTGTTTTCTGTGATCATAACAAAAATAGGACTATATCATCAAATGTAAACATCATTTATGTTAATCAATATCTTGTATTTGAAAGTCAACCCTCTCATGAAAAGTTTCATAACTCAACATGAGATTATTACAGCATGCTGATTTAAAATTGCATCCTGCCAGTAATTATATGAAGACTGTATTATTATATGCATGAATTTTTACCAGTGCTTTCAGTAACATGGACTTCTACTTTGAGTCTCAAAATCATCAAGTTTCCAACATAATGTACCCTGTACACTTTTCTTTGCATGTAAATACTTGTTTTTATTTTTCTATCACCACAAAAATCAATCTCTAATTTATTTGAACTGGATTAAATTCCTTGTAATTTCGAACAAATGGATAAAAAGAGTATTTAACTGTGTGAAAACAGAATCTCATTGCAAGTTTCAACTTACACAGAAACAGTTCAGTAAAGTTATTGCTTAGGGATGTCATACTTGAACATCTTAACAGCTTCTCACCTTCATTTTGGGGTTCTCAATAATGGAATGTAGACTGAAGAAAGATGATTGTGACCTTTCCATATCCTCTGGTCTCCAAGAAAATAAACTCTGTACACTTGAAAGTTGATATAAAGTTTAGCAAGTATATTTGCACATATTCATATACAGATATTAGGCAATTTTTAACTGAGAGGTAGATTAGGGAATATGCCAGGACAATTTAAAACAGAAAGAATTACTAACCTGTCAAAAAGTCTACAGAAGCAAGCAAATATCTTTCTTTCTACATATACTGCTGATCACTTACAGTTACATGCATAACTTTTTTTTTTATTTTGGAGAACTATGGTTGGCTAACTCAACTTTACACTAAGAATTTTCTTCATGCAGCAGACACCTTGTATACTAATGAAATTCTAATTTGGTACTTTTAGCTGGCAAATAATTTCTGTGTGTACCTTTCATGCCACATCATCCTGATCAAATAGGATGCCACATCCTCCTTTTCTGTGAGTAATGCCACTTCAACTGGTAATAAGCATTTAATTTTCTTGGGTTCTATTTGTTCTGTTCTCTGCAAAGCTAAAAGCAATGGGCATTTCTTTGCAAGTGTCTTGGTGACATCTAAAAAGCCATGTTCTACTGCATAGTGCATCAATGTCCTATTAAATCTGTCCTCCTTATCTCTGAACCTCTCATATCTATTCTCCAAGCACTATGAACTCAAAACCCATGAAAATCTTGTGAAATAATTCATTGTAAATTCACAGATTTTTCACAGGATATTCATGGTTAAATCAATGACATTTTCATGGTCTCAGTGCCATGAAAAAGACCTGAAAAATCCCATGAAAAACCTGTGAAAATTTCCATATTCACGACCCATGAAATATTGAGAAAGTGACCTAGAAGCCATGAAATACCCATGAAAATGGCATTTCATGGCCTTTTCAAAGGTACTGAGAAACCCATGAATTTCAAGCCCAAAATTTCATGGTGTCAAAGTTCACTAGTTTTTAATGGGTTGCAGCAAATCATGACCCATGAATATCCTGTGAATATGTTAAAAATTCATTGACCATGAAAATTTTCCTTGAATTTTCATGGCCTCTACATGGTTTTTTCATGGCACATGAAAGTTAATTGCCAGTTAGTTTTCATGGGGTTGTTAGGAATATGCAAGCACCATGAAAATTCTTTGAAAACCCTATGAATTTGGAATTGAAAATTCTTCACTTTTCTTGTACCAAAGACTGTACTACAGTGTATAGCTTGCAGTATACCATAACTGTAATACATACACTATCACTTAAATTATACACTGAAGAACTAACCTATCTGTGAAACTTCTTGGTCCTGTTGTACAAGCACACACACATGAAAGACATGACCAGAAGTTTGGATTCTCTGATAGTTTATTTTGTTTCACCAGCTGTACATAAATATTACTTTAGGATTCCAAAATTGTGATAATTCAGTTTACACTTTCTTAAATAAAAAAAGTTGGTATGAAATTTTCTGCATAAAATTAAGATGTTAATGATTTTTAGCTCTATTTTGATATCACTGATTTTCCTTGTGGAGACAGATTCTGCTCCTATATTTCTGAAGGTATATAATAAATTTGATGTGAAAAATATTTGGACGAAATTATTGAAAATATACTCACTGGCTTGATGTATTTTTGTCTAAACTTCAAATATCATTTCCTTCGTCTAATATCATGTGTAAAATGTTATGGACAGTTATTATAATGTCTATTTATGTAACAGCATTCATGTAAATTTCTTGATATGTTTTACACTTGTGATCAATACTCTCAATGTAACTAACAACAAAACAATTACCAACTTTCTGCACTCTTGCATGTGTGAAGATATATCTATGGCTGACTATGTCAGTGTCTCTCTGTTTTGGCCAGCTGAATGTGCCATCCTTCTTTCGGTTATCATTACTATTTGCATCTTCATCATCGTTTGGACCAAGATAGGCTGCTTTAGCAAGTGTGCATTTCCTTTCATCAGTTTTGTAGACCAACACTCTTCACTGTTTGCAAAATAAAGGGAGCACATCATCAGTTATCTAAGAGCCTTTCTTATGTACGTAGTAAACCTAGAAATGGATAACTCGCCAAAACAGGTTCTTTTCAACATGAAGCCGTCAGATACTAAGCGACGCACTATGGAAGTGAGGTGAGGTATTTCGTATTCAGAATTTGACTGTATTTTTTATTCCTAAGAACGGTCGTAGGTATTTCCATACAAACTCTTGTGATGTTTCGCCAGATGATCACAGAATAAAAATTTTCAAGTTAAATCAATAGTTAGCGCGCGCGCTCCGATGTTTACGCGTAATAAGATGACCAAGCTTGAACTTACCCCTTCACGTTGTAATACATGTCGATAACTTCATCTTGAGGAAACCTCTTTGAAAAAACTTTTCAGACGGTCCATTGCGTTGATCTGGAAAAAAAGAGACTGCTACACAAACACTACGAGAAATGCAATTGGAATGGAACCATTCCGTTCGAGGTACGAAAAAAACCGCCACTTCTTCGTAAATCACGTGTACTTTCACGTGGTGACCTTAGGTCATCGCAGCCATCATAGGTCAGCGGTCACATAGTGACCTCACAGGTTATCGTGTTCGACGTTACGAAATGACTCCGAAGAGGTCTCGTTGCTGCGTCTGTAATCTTACAAAATAAAGCAGCACAAAAAGCTGTTCGGTATTTGGAATTCGAAGCAAGTAACAATCGACAGGACATCAGAGTCCAAGAAAGTCAGAGCTGACATCGACAGTGATTCCTGTGAAAGCGATCACGAAATCAACAACGATGTTGTAGAAGGCGATCTCAATGAATACATGAAGGTAACGTTTCATCCCGACTGAGAAGATGGCCTGACTCTGTTAACCGGCGACTCTATGAACGAGGTAAAAATAGCATTTTTTTCAGGTTACATTTGCACACTATTCAAAGTTCCAAATTGAGGTGACAAAGTGATTGATTTTTCATTGTTTTGTTCCACATTTCGTGTAGTTGCAATGCGTACTATTGCTGTGCAACTTAAGCATCTGTACTCTGCAGGTGCCTTACTGGAAAAGCCCTAGAAGATTCCTCAGCCGTAAGAATGTAAGAGAAGGCCTTGAACAGGTTTCCAGAGTCATGGCTAACAATCAAAGCCAGCAGTGAGGCAGAAAAAATTCAACAAAGTCGTCCAGGCATGGCGAAGGCAAAAAGGCCCCAAAAAATCAAAGTGAGGATCAAACATCTGGGTTATTGCCTCCAGCCCTATTTGTCTCAACAAAAGAGCAAATTGAAGATCCATTGTTTTTAGTCATTGTTTTGTGATTTCCTGTACATTTTACGTTAACAAAGGCCACTTAAGATGTTTAGGGACATTTTCATTCGACGGTTTTCACGCTGTACACCAAAATTCCATCAGTGCATAAATTTATAACAAGTTAGTTCCACGGATCATGAAAGTCAGCTCGTTGATAAATCAGTGACTGTGATGAACTCATTATTACCACTTTTAATGGCCTATGAATTCATCAATGAAATTCATGGGCAACAGATTTCAGGGAATATTCATGGCCCATTAATTTTGTTCTCCCAAAACAAATAAATTGTTAGCCCATGAAATGCTGTTTGATTGCAATTCATGGGCATGAAATTCATTCTGATGACTTTCTGGGGAAACTAATGGGTCATGAAAGTAGACTTTGAAGAAATTCATGGGTCATGAAAGTAGGCACATAAAGAAATTCATGGGTCATGAAATTAATTCTGATGACTTTCATGGCAAATCAATGGATCATAAAAATAGACTTTGAAGAAATTCATGGGTCATGAAAAAAATTCCCCTAATTCATGGAAAATTCAGGGCTAAAAATAACCCCATGAAATTTCATTTTGCAGTATTCATGGGCCATGAAATGATCTTCATGGGTTTTTCACATGAAATTCATGGAATTTTCATAAAACTACAGTTCATAGTGAAGTTCAGTTCACTTTCTAATAGAATCTCTAGACATTGAGATACCTGCAAAAAAAAAAAGGTTAATATAGAGGTTGTCTGTATAGTCACAATATGAGTTTGAAATAAAAGAAAACCTCTGCTATAGCTGGTGATTTAGGTGCTGCCTCAATACTTATTGAAAATTATTCATTTAAGTATTAACTTTTTTCAGTAGTATGCCATAGCAGTGGCAGGATACTCCAGATTCAAATTAACAGGAATGATTGGAGAGGAAAATAATGATAGTAATAATAATTAAAGACTTAACATATGGCCTCTGAAAGGTTTTTTTTAGAAACAATTGAAACCTTAAAAAATTCAGAGGAAGCTATTTTTTTTCAAAGCTTAAAATCTAAGTAACTGAATTCAAATTCAGTACTATTCAAAATTATCATGAAGATAACTCAAATGTATTTCCCAACTGAAGACAATGTTTATAAAAAAAAATACTTTTTCCCCCTTTGAATAGTATCCAGTATGAACTCCTTGGCATTAGATATTGATTGATCCTAAGGAATTATGGAAAAATTGAGAAAAGGTTGGGCAATAAGAATTCCATACAGGTGGCAAAAGAAAAATTTAAAAAATTCACAGGTGTGGTAGCTTGTTTGTACACAAATTAAAATTACCAGTCGTTGAAGGCCTGGAAGTTTATCAGGTTTATCCTTGTACTGTCTGGATGTTGGCCAAGTTTTTAACATCACCAGTGCTGGATCCTCGCTGTTAAGTTCTCCATCATCTTTGTATTTCTGAATCAATCTTTCAACATAAACTTCATGCATTGCCTTGTTCCATGACAGTTGGCCCTTACTCTGCTTTCGATGAACCTATGAAAAGAGAGGAGTTAATTAGTTACACGGTCTTACTGGATAACTATCTCATGTTTTGTGTTTAGTTCTATTTGTTTGACCACTGATTTTTCGAGTTTATGATGTTTTTATGAATAATAGGTTAAGTTTTTTCATCTTTCATTTCACACCTTTGCCATCCTCGAGTTGAATATAAACATGAACATAACTTTTAATTCTCTGACTAGCTTAAGAAGATGTCAAAAGAAACACTTGGAGGTTTACTCCATTTAAAGAAATACAGCTTGAAGTCTGCATGTTGATATTTTCAAAATGTGGCTGTTGAAAATCTAACTGAACTTACGACTAATGTCTAAACTTACCTTTATCCAAAACTCCGTGTCAATTTCACCATCCAAAATATCGTCTCGTTCTTCTCTTTCTAGCGTACCTTCCACAGTTTCCTCTTTATTGTTGTTATCACTTTTCTTGGTGCATACTAGTAAGAGTTGATTTTGTTTCCCCATTTCAAACTTGAGTATTTTACATCAGCGATCGATACTCGTCCGGCTTGAGCTGCGCCATATTTTTCATGCCCACATGATTCTCAAATCCTCCGGAACGTTATCGGGCCCCAGAAATCGTTCGGGTCTTCATCGGACGCTATCTGTCGGCTCCAGGGAGCGCTCGGGGATGCCGGAAAAAAAATTATATGTAAAAAAATAATAGGAGGGAAATAGATCGAATAGGAAAGGGATACATATGTTTTAAAGAAATCAGAAGGCCTTAAATCTCGTAACCTAATGAACAGCGGGCGGTTTTTCTGAAAGCTCTACGAAAACAAACGCGGAGAAGGTCCACTTGTACCAAGGGCTTTCTCAGTCAATTTTTTTCCAAGATGGCGAGGGCGAATTTCGAGACACACTCAAAAGACTGCAAACTTCGCGGACAAACCAATGTTTTTCTCTCACACAACCCGAGTTTTTGCTCATTCCCATGCGTAAAATTTACCATTACTGTGGCGCTTGGATATCAGCCGCTCTAACCCATCTTTTCTTCCTACGTTTTCTATCAAATTAGAACACAAGCATCTAATTAGAACTTAAAAATAATTTGGTGTTAAAGCAACCTTTTCACTGAACAATTCAACACATTATGCGTTTCATCCAAGGTCGTAGGAATCTCGAAATGATACATTGACACACGCAAAGCCCGGCTCTAATTAGACACTTAAAATAAACTTGCATGGCTTTAGAGCCTTTTTCCAACACATTTCCGCGTTAAATATGTAATTTTGCACATATTTCTCCGTTGGTTGCTGGGTATATATATGCATATATCCTTACTTCTGCAGTGTTCAGCGTTTCTAGTTTCATTTATGTACAATGTCTGCCGAACTCGAGCGATAAAACTCAACCCTTGAAAACAATCTTCGACCAGCCTTCATCGCTCATTTCATTTCATTCACTATTCTTCGTAGGAAACTCGTTCATTCGATTAGTTAGCACCTTCACGTACTCTGTTCAGTCCAAAATGAGGTACGTTATGCTTTTGTGTGCTGAAAGCGACCGTGCAGATGTTCAAGAACTTCAAGATCATTTGGAGGGTAAGCTACGAAATGTAGCACAGTTAAGAAATATCACTCGCACTTTAGCAGAGGATCGAGACGTCAACTGGGCACTTCGTAACAGTGACTGTGTTGTTTTGATCGCATCTCACCAAGCTTTGTCCCTCATTCAAAACAAGCAGCAGGAGACTAAAGGAAATTTTGTAACTTTTGACGGGAAGATGATTCATGAAGAGTTCGAAGCAAACCAAGAACTTGTGAAGGACAAACTGGTCATCATCTTTCTGAGGGAGCAAACTGAGAATGATTGGATTCCAACTGGTTTTGATGCAAGAAAAATATTTCATCTGCAAGGCCAGAAAATAAAGAGGGGTAATCCTGCTCTGAGCCACCTTGAACACTGGATCAGACAAATATTAGGAGTGAATAGGCTGTAAGTAAAAGTAAACGTGATGACATTTATAAATTAGAGAGCGACAATTTGTTTCAGTAGCCTGAAGTATTTGTGGAATCTAATATTAACATTTCTTCAAAGTGTAAAGGAAGCTCTTTATCGATCGTTAAATATTAGTGAAACGGTTGTTTTAAATACTACTACTTTAAGTAATCGAGTAATTTTGTAATCAATTTGAAATTGTGTGCAATCAGGGTTATATTCCGTCGATAGTTCTGTCGGATTAAAGGTAACACAGTGAAGAAATGGTTACATTTTGTGATTCATGGCATAATTATAACTAACTGCAAAGTAGCATTAGTAATGAATCTGGACAAAGCGCTTAGATTAATTACTTTAATCAGTGTGGAAAATTCAAGCGTTTACTTGCTTGTTAACAATATATTTTTTTGCGTACTAATTTGACAACGGGTCACAGGAACAATCTAGAGCAGGAAATTAGATTCAATACCTTAGTGATTTCCTTGAATAAAGTTTCCAAAAGAAACGATTTAGTACCATCTCAAGGACCATCTTTATTATGTCCTGAATATCTGACAAAGTAGTGAACTGTTTTGGCCACAGCAGGAATCACGTGACCCTAAATCTTAATCCAACTGATCCAACATCTTCGCATTTCGCAGAGCAAATTTGTGGTTGGAACTGTGACGTAAATTTCACGCATCAGGGTTTTAGTGGATGTATGAGTATATACTTGATATCTGTGGCTCATATTTAAGAGGCAAGGTGTGTGAATTCTTAGCACTATTAATGTAAACCAGGACGATCCAGGAGTCATAGTCCTATACGTTCTTCTCCTCTGGGGGCACTTGAGTATGTTGCCACGGGTGGGTGTATGCTGCCAAGTCTTCAGATTTAAACCCCATAAAAAACTTAAAATCAAAATGATACCCCGCTCGTATACAAATTTCCCAAAAACTATCGCCCTATCTTTCTGGTAAAAGTTGTGCAAAATGCAAGTGGTGAAAAATTATGAAGAAAACCGGAACTATATATTCCTCTTGTTGCCGTCAAGCTAAAGACACCCGTTTATTCGCGTCCAGGCCTCATCTGTTTAACCATCTTTCTCATCAGATCCCTACAGTGAGAAAATCACAATAAAGAAAACCGCTGATACTCAAATGTGAAAGCATGGGGTGGGTAAGGAAGTTAAGTAACGACCCATGCATAGGAAATCCAACACGTCAATTTTGTTTCACTTCGTTCTCTTATTGGTTTTGAAAACTCCTTTCATCTTGCTAATCAATCAGATTTAGACTTGATCATAATTGTTTTCCCGCTCTTCGGACAGTTTGACTGATATTTTCAGATTTTTTTTTAACATTTACCTTCCGATTTGTCGCTGTGTCTACTTTTACTTGATAAAAAGCGCTCAATGTGTCATTGCTGGGTTTATGAAGAAGCTGATGGTAAGAAAAGGCAGGAATTGAAGGAATTATTCGTACCTGATCTCATTAAGTTTCTCTTCAACCGACTCCCAAGGACTGCGATCTTCACTGAATTCCAGAAGCTCTAGGAACAAAACCAAGATCACATCTGAGAACACAAAGAAACCTTTACGTATTATAGCATCAGAAACAAAAATTTGTTTTTCTTTTACGTACTCTTCACGAGACTCCCCCTAACCCACCAAAGAGGAATTGAAATGGAAAATGATTATTAGTTGAAACTATTCGCTCAAACAGCCACATAGCTCTTGCTAATTAAAACTAGGGCTTGTAACGTGAGCAGCCCTTCCTTTCGTTTTCACACTTCTTCTTTCAGTAGCCACGCTAAATTTGTACTTCTTACCAAAAGCCATTCCAGCTTTCAGTTAGCAACATCCTGTGATTGATGGTTTGTCTTAATAAGTAATCTCATTTATTTCATTACCGACCTTTTGCAAGTTTCATTTCACTGATCCAGTCTCCCTCTTTGTAATACTTCACGCGTAAATTCTACAGAGAGAAAGGTTCTTGTATAATAAATCAATGACCTCTACCTTCCATTCTCTATTTTTCACACTTGCACGAGGCGGGCAGCACATTTGCGCAATCACACCTAGCGTCAATCATCTAACGGCTTCATTCTAAATACCTATTGGATACTCACCAGAAAAGGAAATCTCTCCATGCGCGTGAGCTGTAAAATACGATCCACGTCATATTCCAGACGGGCGACTTTCTTGGCCTGTGTGTAAGTTGTACTCATCTGTGCAATGAGAATGTTGAGCAGAATCACAGTCACTGTTCCCATATACGCCATCATTAGAAGAACTGACAGCCAGCTGTAGGAAAGAAATATTCACAAAGCTAAGCTTATCTACTGAAGGAAAATGTGTGAGACTTTCTAAACACCACCGCTCCCTTATTACAGACCTGATATGACTTGTGACCTTAGCTTCCCTGAGCTAGCTTTTAAAACTCAAATCGTAACAGCCGTTAGGCGCAAAGTGAAGCTCAGCAATAACTTGAAAGATCAGTGTCACGTACTTGAAAGGTGAGTAATTTTGCACCATGGGATACTGCTCGAACAGTGCACGAAACCCGCTCATGAAGACCTCTCCAAAACCACTAAAGGCAAAATAAAAAATTAAAAATTAATATGTTGGGGTTTTTTTTTGCTCTTCTCACGCGCTATATTCAACATCAAAATTCCCGCGATCAGTAAATTGCTTTTGCCAGAAAGGATGAGAATAGTTTGAATAAATACAAAATCCAGCCAGTAAAGAGCAGATCAACTTAAACAAATTCTAAAGGAAATTATCGAATATTTTATTGACTTGTAACAAACGATACCCTGAACTGTTTTTCCAAAAACAACCTCATAGCTTTGCAAAGGAGATATACTCAACAGAGACGCACCGAAGTTCTTGGTTTTCTTTGGATCCGGAATAACAAAGTGATAAAGTCAGGGCACCACAGAAGGAGAAAAATATCACAATAAAAACTGCCATGGATCTTGTGACGTCGTGTAAAATGATCTTAGCCAGGGTTTGTGTGTATAATCCTGTAGTCCTATGAAAGATACAAGTTTAGGTTAGATTAGCAAAGGGATGGGGTTTCAGTCATCAGTGCTCTTTTCGAACTACAGTAATCAATTGGGAGTTTTGCGTTACCTTGAAACACATGAAAATTTAAATATTCTCAGGAAGTTGAACAAGAAGGCTAAAGATGTCACCATCCACTGTGCTTTATGATCCATGTATCGTAACGGTGCTATACACAATATCAACAGCAGTCCTAACCAGTCAAACAAGGTCATCCACTCTGTGAAATAAGAACGCCCCTCTCTGCAAGAAATAAGACGATTAGCGTGAAAATCTCTCCTCTTCTAGCATTCTGCGCAGGTTTTTTGGTTTAAAAAATTATGTGAACTTCGTATCAATTGTATAAGGCGAGAAAAAACACAAATGAACCGTTTAAGTGTTATAATGGCTAACAAAAAATCTGAAGCGCTAAAAGGTTCAGGTTTTTTTTAAGTGAATCAGAAAAACGAAAAAAAGGGGGTGTTTGGATGCTTCAGAGCGGCCATGTTTTTGCTCCTCTTCCGTCTGTATTTTTGCCCTCTTCTAGAGCGTAATACCGAGGCATACTTGGTGCGTTCTTAATATGGTAAAATGGCGTAAATGTGGAACAATGATTAACAATATTTACTAGTTTCCACGTTGCTGCTCTCATCAGTCTGATGTTACCTCACTATTACTTACATTCTTATTTGATTGATTTCCTCACAGATGTAAAACACAACCATAAGTAGAGTGACAACCTCGCAAAATCCGCGCACTGAGTCCAGTGCACCACTGTAATGGGTGGGGTCCAGTTTGGTAGAGGCATGCAGCAGGGAATATGACATACACAGCAAGAAGATGCAATACAACGCTGCTTGAAGGCTACAGAAAAGAAAAAAGTAATTATATTTACTTCTGCAGAAGTAAAATAGAAAAAGGGCACGGGATTTGAGATTCAAATGAAGATGTAAAAAATTAAGTTCTTGGTAACCTATAGATGTCGAATAGTTTTGTAACACACTTTAGAGAAATCAAAGGCTTAGATCGGACAGTGATATATGCATTCACAATGATCTAAGGAAGTGCTTTCACCAGTTGATTATGTGTGTAGTGGTAAAAAGGAATTTTTTCTGGTACTTATGGTTTATTAATTCAACACCTATGTAATAATTCATAATAATTTTAATAATTTAATAATAATAATAATAATTTATTTACTTCTATAGCGCCCTTTAACATTTAGATGATCAAAGGCGCTTTACAATTTCTTCCACCCATCCCACCCCAGGGGAGGACATCCACCACACAGTAATCTCGTGTGTGGGAAATTAACGTCTCCTACCCTAACCCTGCAGGAGACGGGGCCTACGGTTTTACGTCCTATCCGAGAAGACGAAAGATGTAAAGAAATATGATGCAATTATTTCTAAAAATTCTAAAAATTTATAGTATAGAACCTGCTAATACAACTGATTTACCTGAGACACAAGTGTCCATAACTTTTCCATTTTGTTTTAATCAACATTCTGATCACAGGATGTTGCAAAGCTTCCTAAAAATGAAAATCAAGAACTGATTTCTGTTCAAAGCATGGGTTAAGACTGATCTAACAATCAAACTCCTGCAGTAGTAGGTATCATCAACAGATAAACCTGAATGTTTCTACTATTTCTAAATATCTTAAGCAATATTACACAATTTACTTCAGCTGTAATTTCTATGGATTTACCAGTATTTTTTAGCCTAAACTTACCTTGTTGTTGCTCTTTGCAATGGCATGTAGACAAGACTTGTCTTTCCAGTTAAAATATTTGTTTTCTGTCTGCAGGTGTCCATCTGAAGCCAAAATCTTTGGGGGTCGTCCTCCCTCATCTCCATCCAAAATATGATAATAAAAATGATAGCTTAATGGATCATCTGAGATCGTTTTCCAGACTCCTTCAATTGCCTCCCTCTCTTCTTCAGTTTCATAGTTTTCTTGGCGTTGTGGAAGATATGGCCAATGAGGATTCACCATCTGGTCTAACACAGCCACTACTGTTTTCTGGAAACAACATAAATCATAGTAAATTGTTTCATCAAAAGCATTTCTTTAGATAATAATAAAAACTAACCTGTGATATTCAAGTGATACCAAATCTAGTCTTAATCACAGAGATGCATGCATGCCCAGATAATCTGTAACAGTAATTATAACAATAATACCAGAAACAGTAATAAAGATGATAATAATGATGATGATGTTGATGACAACCATGATTACCATGATGATGATCTGTATTTTCCGCTCTTTTAGAGAAAAGGATAAATAAGTTACAAAATGATTAGCATTTGGATGGGTTACTAGCTTCCATAGTAATCTAAGATGGTATCTTGGAAATTACGTTACCTGAAAGGAATTTCAATTTTACAAGGACTCTCTGATTCAAAATCAAAAGGTCTTGGAAAAAAAATTAAAAACAACACTAAAAAATGTGTCTTACAAGGTATCTATAACTGGCATAATGATTATGGAAATGGAGCTCTGGCATGGCAGCACCCCCCCCCCCCTTCAAGCCACAACCTTTTCTCTAGGTATATAATCAGAAACAGGAGACAGTTTTCCTTGTCTTAATTTCTCCTCAAATCGAAAGTGGTACCTTCAGTTTGTACAGAACATTTAGGATACACTGCAAACTTTTCTTTAATCACCATGTTATTTTCTTCATAGAAATAGCTAAGCCAGTATTATTTTTATTTCAAATGCAATTTTGAAGATCACCCTCACCTTCAGTTTAGGATTCTCAATTACTGCCTTGAAACTGAAGGAAGATGGTTTGGGATTTGTTATGTCATCAAGTGTCCAGGAGAATAAGCTTTGGACTCTGTTTTTCAAAAGTAATTTTGAAGGTTTAAATTGGTGCATTGATTATAATCAAGTTCCTTACAACAAGCTCCTCTACTAAGATCACTTCACAAAAGGACCACAATCAGGAATTTTAACTGTGTGACCTTTGCCTGTCATTCAAAATAATATTAATTTAATAGAAGAATTTTTTTTCAAAGAATTCAAGAAATGGCTGACCTCAAATTTAAGAAATTGAAATGTTCCTCACATATATGTGACCATAATCCCTATATCTTTCAATTAACTTATTTAGAAAAATACATATTAGATTGTGTATTGTATATACACCTTGTTGAGTGGTTTTACATGTAACAAGATAAAAATGCCTATCCCTAGTATCAATGAAACCATAGAATGAGAGATTTGTTATTGCAACATCATCCAACTGTCTCACATTTTTCTTTCTTGTTTTTGAAATAATACATCCCTTTGACATACAAACATACAGACAACAAATAGTGCTGATGTTTATTAACTTGTAAGTTAATAAGCATAAGTTAACTCTGTACCTTTCATGCCACATAACTCTAATCAAAAATGCAGCGACATCATCATTCTCAGCTGCTATTGCTAATTCTACAGGTAACATGGCTCTTTTTTCCACAGGTTTTCGTTGATCTTTGGTCTTCAGAGCAAGAAGCAGAGGACATTTCTTCACCAATGTTTTGGTGACTTGTAAAAATCCAAGCTCTGCCGCGTAATGCATCAGTGTTTTTTTTGTTTTTTCATCTTGATCCCGGAACTCCTCATATCTGTTATCAGAGTTTAATTCACTTTCTAAAAGAATCTCTAAAATCCGATTTATCTACAAGAGACAATTCAAAGATTATCATTAGAATCTTAAAAGAGAATACATGAACCTAAAAGTTTCAGAACTTGTTGGGTAGAATAAAAATAGGTAGGTTTCCTTCCAACAAAACTTTGATATGTAAATACCTGTTGCTCAAGTCCAGGAAGTTTATCAGGATTATCTTTGTACTGTTCACATGCTGGCCATCGTTTTAAGATTAGCAGAGCTGGATCCTCACTGTCCAGTTCCCCATTATCCTTGTATTTCTGAATTAGTCTTTCAACATGAACTTCATCCATGGCTCTGTTCCATGACAATCCAATGTTCTGCTTTTGATGAACCTTGATAATTAAATAATAGTAGAAAGCCTTCATAGGTTCACTTCAAATACAGTTTTTACTGTAAATCAAGCTACCAGTTACATCAAACCTGCACTGATCGCCTACACTCATTCAGCTTTATTTAAACATGCAGAAAAATTAAATGACTATCTCGTACCATTTCTTATCGTAGTTTGATGTTTTAAGCTCTAGTTTTCCGTCAGACATTTACTTTGAATACACTCTAAAAGATCGGCATTCATTTAAGTGCAGATTTAATGTTACTCGCCTAATTGGATATTACCTGAAATAAGGAGATCACGATCTCATTTAACAAGAATTCTCAGGACTCCTTAAATATTGCATATTTCAGTTCATTTTTTAATTCCAAATTTATACATCTCCTTTCAGCAGTACATAAAGCATGAGAAATTTCACATTCGAAAGCGTTATCAACTAAATGTGAAGTCATCTTGGTTAGAATTCGCGGAGTGCTTAAATCTCTTGTATGCACTTTTATTAATAAGTGAGCCGGTACAAAAGGCAAATACCCGCGCGCCACGTTGACCGAACAGGCTTGGTTTTAGGTAAAAAGATAACACTGGTACTAAAGAAATTCATAACAAAATTTCTCAAAACTCGTAGTCTAACTTACGACACATCTTCACTACCTTAACCCAGAAATTCACGTCAAAATCATCCTCCAACAAATCCTGCTGGTGATCACGACAGTGGCCAATTTCAGGCGGATCCCCTCGTTCATTGTCCTTTTTAGCGAATCCCACCACCTTTTCTCCTTTACTCATACCTAATTCGTTTAACACCAGCCACATTTAAGTTTCAGGTGTTAAATTTACTCCACATCTTGATTTTTGAGACAAATAAGATAAGCTTCTTTGAGAGCAGGCTCTCTTTGGTTGGTCAGTATCAGAAACCATCAAAAGGGCCTGGCTCTAGCTCGTCACCAGGGACTTGTCGGCTGTTTGATTTACGAAAAGAAAAAGAAACCCCCGGGCACTACTTTGAATGGCGCCCCCAAAATTTTTTTGCAAATTTTTTTGCAAAACTTTTGGCACCGAACATATTGTGCACCAAGATAACGAGGAATATCATACCAACAGAAAGTTTGCTGCCTAACCTCTCCGCCTTTGAACAGAAAGAAGATGGTTGTAATTCGCACGTCATGGCCACTTCGAGACGTCAATTGACCGTGGATAGATAAAATCCTTTAGCGGCTCAGCGTATCATCCTGAACATGTTGCACGATACACAATGAACGAGCAGAAGTATCACATTCAAAGACAATGGAAAAATAACCGGAAATAAGGTAAAAAGGAGAAGGGCAATGCGTGAAAGATATGAAAGAATGAATTCGCCAAGTGTTAAAAGAAATGCTAGGAAATTCCGATAAAGCACGAGTAGAAATGGAATAATGCAAATTTTAACGGCAAGTCTTTAAAGAGCTTCATATATATGGTGAATTTTTCACGTACAGCTCAATATACTCGTTCCACATGCATCTCACACATTTGTTACAAGTACATATTATATATGCTAACAGTGCTCCTTTGCAGAGTTGTCGAGCTTACTTTTTGCAGGCAAAGTTTCACTGTCCTATCTAAGAGATTCAGGCCAGGAAAAAAAGAGAGCAGTCTTCTTCGGTTTGTATGTCTCCAAGCGTCCATTCGAGTTGAAAATGAAGAACACATTATTTTTGTATACTGAAAGCGACAGCACCAAAGCTGAGCGACTGATGGATTATTTTCAAGGCAGACTGCGAAAGATTGCAGATATGAGAAATATCGCGAATATTCTTGTTAGGAAACAAGATTTCAGGACAATTCTTCGCTGCAGTGAATGTGTTGTGCTGATTGGGTCATCCCAAGCTTTGTCCTTCATCCAAAACAAGCAGCAAGAAAAAGACGAAGATGACATACTTTTTGACGGCAAAGCTATGCATGAAGAGTTCACAGAGAACAAAGAACTTGTCAAGAACAGACTCCTTATTGTTCACTTCACAGAGAGAGGCGAGGATGACTGGATCCCAAAGGGTTTTGACGAAAATCGAATTTTTCATGTGGAAGATGGAAAAGCTCCGACTAAAGGAACCCCCACCTTAACTCATCTTGAATATCGCATGAAGAAAATATTGCTCGGAGATAGCTTCCTCTACTGAGCTCGAGAGTAATGGAGTGTGCATTGAAGGTTTTTTCATTCGGTAAAAGAAAGAACTACAGTTGTAAAAGGCTGGGTCCTCAACTGATTGCTTTAGAATTACTGTTTTTGTATGTTAGTGAGTCATAATTAATCGTAGTTGTGTGTAACGATAAGTTTCCTCAAACACATCACCTGTTTGAAGGTTACGCCCTTGGGTCGATGGTGCGATTGAAAGTAGATAGTGTAAAATTGAAAAGACAATAAAATTTAGCTGAAACAGCTCAAGATATTTGAGATCAGTGCTTAAATACTATTTCTAGGGGACTTCAGAATTAAAAAAAAAAAACGCTTCCGGAATATAGAGAGCTTCTCAAAGACATTCCTTAACGAATATTCAGTTCATGATTTCAGTTGCCTTAAGGAGTCAATATTTATTTAATATTCTGGGCATTATTCTCCAAAAAAAATCAACGATATTAGCATTATCTGTTTAGGTACTATTAGCCTCTGTTCAGAGTTATTCAGATCATACATAGGAATATTGACTGACTATTCATATGGATTTCTTGATGTACCGGGCCCGATTAGAAAACACAGCATTGGCACGTAATGTAGAATATAAGGAATCACTGCCGAATGGTGACGTCACGATGAACCTCGCTTCCAGGGTCTCTCTTCTTCCAGGCTGACCACATGAGAACGAGATTTTGTGCATGTCTTGTACCCAGACTTACCACGACTATGAGGCGGGGCACATAAGTGGGAGTATAAGAGCCAGGAGAAAACGTTCTGATATCGAATACTTTGGTATATAAATGACTGTGACGAAGAAAGCGTTGAACATGGCCTATGTCCTAAACTAACGCTGAAACTGACTTCAAAAGGCAAATAAATCAAGGACAAAGAGTTACCAAGCAAAAACAAAAAGATTGACCCGCGAGAACTTTGCCCCCAAAATGTAAGTGGTGAAAACTTCCGAAGAAAACGGAAGCAATATATCCCTCCTACTGCCGTCAAGCAACAGACATCCGTTTATTCGCGTCCAGGCCTCATCCGTTTAACCATCTTTCTCATCAGATCCCTAAAATGAGAAACTCACAATAAAGAAAACCGCTGATACACAAACATATGAAAGCGCAGGGTGGGAAAGAAAGTTTACTAACGAGCCATGAGAAATCCAACAGGTCAATTTTGTTTCACTTCGTTCTCTTATTGGTTTTGAAAACCCGCTTCATCCTCTTAATCAATTAGATTTAGACTTGGTCAAAATTTTTTTCCCGCGCTTCGGACAGTTTGATTAATTTTTTCAATTGTTACTAATATATTTACCTTCCGATTTGTCGCTGTGTCTAATTTAGTTTTGCTCTGAGGATGGGCTAACGCCCAAAAGGTCAGCATTGTAACTTCTTACAGTGGCCAATTTACGCTGTCAACTCGCTGATGATACTTTTCAACTCGCTGATGATACCCGTTATACTCTCCCACCGACGCAGCACCACAGTTTCTTAAGAAACTTACCCCCTTTATTAATGAATTTAGTTTTGGTTTTATAACACCTGATAAAAAGCGCTCAATATGTCATTGCTGGGTTAATGACGAAGCTGATGGTAAGAAAAGGCAGGAATTGAAGGAATTATTCGTACCTGATATCATTAAGTTTCTCTTCAATCGACTCCCAAGGGCTGCGATCCTCACTGAATTCCAGAAGCTCTATGAACAAAACCAAGATCACATCTGAGAACGCAAAAAAAAAATTCCTACACATCACAGCATCGGAAAGCAAGATATATTTTACTTTTACGTACTCTTCACGAGACTCCCTCTCACCCACCAACGAGGGATTGAAATGGAAAATGTTTATTAGTTGAAACTGTTCGCTAAAACAGCTACATAGCTCTTGCTAATTAAAAAAAAGGCTTGTAACATAAGCAGCCCTTCTTTTCGTTTCCACACTACTCCAGTCAGTACCCACGCCAAATTTGTCCTTCTTACCAATATCCATTCCAGCTTTCAGCAAACAACATCCTGTGACTGATGGTGGGTCTTAATAAGTAGTCTCATTTATTTCAGTACCGAACTTTTGCAAGTTTCATTTCACTGATCCAGTCTCCTTCTTTGTAAAACTTCACGCGTAAATTCTGCAGAGAGAAAGGTTGTAGAGTAATAAATAGGGATATTATGCAAACCACGACGGCGACGGCAACGAGGACATGGAAAAAGAAAAGATCTTATTGGCAGAACAATAGCTCAGCATGTGCGTCTTAAAACTTTGTACATTTCTTAGCCGACCTATGCAAAACAACAACGTGAAATCACCACAATTTGCGTCGTCTGCGAACCGAAACCGCTACGGCAAATTCTTTTAATTTCCATTTCGAACTCAACGCTTCTTTTATACGTTATGCTGAAGTTGAGGTGTGGCGCCCTATGAGACGGTAAACACATACAGCCATTTTTTTAAATTCTATTTAAAGGCAGAAATTCATTTTTTAATCGAAGTCTTCCGTAGCGTTGCCTTCCTCACTGCTTAAGCTCCCTAATCAATGACCTCCGCCTTCCACCCCCTCATTCACACTTGCGCAAGGCAGGAAGCACATTTGCGAAATCGCACTTAGCACTTAGCGGCTTCATTCTAAATACCTAGTGGATACTCACCAGAAAAGGAAATCTCTCCATGCGAGTGAGCTGTAAAATACGATCCACATCATATTCCAGACGAGCGACTTTCTCAGCCTGTGTGTAGGTCGTACTCATCTGAGCAACAAGAATGTTGAGCAGAATCACAGTCACTGTTCCCATATACGCCATCATTAGAAGAACTGACAGCCAGCTGCGGGAAAGAAATATTCACAAAGCTTAGCTTATCCACCGGAGGAAAATGAGTGACTTATTAAACAGAACCGATCCCCTATTAAATATCTGACATGCCTTCCCTAAGCTGACTTTTAAAACTCCAATCGTAGCAATCTTTACGCACAGAGAGAAGAACAGCAATAACTTAAATATTAGTGTTACGTACTTGAAAGGTGAGTAATTTTTCGCCATTGGATACTGCTCAGACAGCGCTCGAAACCCGCTCATCAAGACGTCTCCAAAACCACTACAGGCAAAACCAAAAATTAAAATTAGTATGTTGGGTTTTTTTGCACTTCTCACGCGCTATATTCAATATCCAAATTCCAACGATCAGTAAATTGCGTTTGCTAGAAAGGGTGAGAATAGTTTGAATAAATAAAACATCTAGCTGGTAAAAAGCAGATCAAATTAAACAATTTCCAGTGGAAACTATCAAATATTTTCTTTACTTATAACAAACGATACCAAAACAACTTCATAGCTTTGTTAAGGAGATATACTCAACAGAGACGCACCGAAGTTCTTGGTTTTCATTGGATCCGGAGTAACAAAGTGATAAAGTCAAGGCACCACAGAAGGAGAAAAAGATCACAATAAAAACTGCCATGGATCTTGTTACATCATGTAAAATGATCTTGGCCAAGGTTTGTGTGTATAATCCTGTAGTCCTAGGAAATATTTAATG